TCATTCTTGCATCCACTCGATTCAATTTGCGGGTGACCACATTCAACCATGTGAATGCTGGTCCCTCCATTTGAATGAGGATGAACGATAATGTGCCACCTCACTTCAAGAACAAATTTTATGCTTGATACAAAGGATACCCATATTCCTATATATATATATATATATATATATATATATATATATATATATATATATATATATATATATATATATATATATATATATATATATATATATATATATATATATATATATATATATATATATATGGAGAGGTTCTAATAAAAACCTAGAAAACTAAAAACCAATCCTAACCCTACAATCTATTTCATCCAATGGTCAAAATTGAAAATGGCAAAATTGAAAATAAATACATCTTAGATACACATCAGGGGTAATTTAGGAAAGATTCATTAATAAAACACGTAATTAATTAGCAAAACCTGTCAAACACTCTTTTTCACGAAAAAGACTTTTCAGTTTCACTCTATCAAGCTAGAACAACAAGTTTTCTCTCTCTATCGTCTCATCTTCTATCTACCCGAACAACTAAATTCTTCACATTCCGTTGATATCTCAACACTTCGATTTCTTTCAACATCTCATTGCAACTCACATTCCGTTGATATCTCAACACTTCGATTTCTTTCAACATCTCATTGCAACTCGAACGAAGACGAACAACAAGCATTCGACGCTGGAGATGAAGAAAAACAACTCACAGACTCCAAAACCCTCGTCTTCAAGAAGGGGTAAAACGATTCCAACCCGCTTATTAAAAATGCATATTTTTATCAAAGTTTGAACATTTTTCATGGATTCAGTGATGAAAGTTTCGAAATTTTTAGATTAATCACTTGCATGTTGTTGAATAATTTTTTATTTTATTTTTTAGCTTTATAAAATATTATCGATGCATGTTCTAGTTTAGGGTTTTTATTTTTTACAGTTTTAAGTTCTTGTGAGAATAAGTTAAGTTTTTTTAATATTGTAAGATGTTTTCATTTGTTGTAAATGAGCAGCGATTAATTTTGGTTGTCTCGATTTTGCCTTATGCACTGTAGTTGAATCTCGATTCACTTGATTGAATCGAGATTCACTGCAGTGAATCGAGATTCACTACAATGAATCGCGAATCAAGATTTACTGGAGTGAATCGAGATTCACTCAAGTCAATTGCGATTTAGTGCAGTGAATCTCGATTCACTCAAGCATAATGAATCTCCATTCAATAAGGTGAATCCAGATTCTTCATAGTGAATCGAGATTCATATATTGGATTTTTTGGCCAGTTGTGTAAAAATGCTTGTTATTTAAACTTCAACTTTATCATGATTGTTTGTTTGTTTGTAAAAAAATACCAAATATGATCTGAGGCCGAGTATATAGGATGGAAACTTTACCAAATATGATCCGAGGCCGTGTATATAGTATGGAAAAATTATATGCTTTATGTATAATAACAGTGAAATGAAACTGTAGTGATGATCAGTTTTTCCTTGTTGTGTTGAGGGACGAGCCACTGAAACAATGTATGGTATGGGATGGAGTTGGTATCATATCATTGAATCTGGATTCACTTTGTTGAATCTGGATTCATTTTCTTGAATCTGGAATCACTTTGCTGAATCTCAATACATTTTGTTGAATCTTGATTCACTTGATTGAATAGAGATTCACTGCAGTGAATCGAGATCCACTGCAGGGAATCAAGATCCACTAGAGGGAATCGAGATTCATTTCCGCGAATCTCTATTCACCCCAGTGAATCTCGATTCAGATTATAATATCTTGATTCAATAATATGATTCCAACTTCATGCTTACCATGCATTATTCAAAGGCTGGTCTCATTAAAAAATGAATTATCATGGGTTTATCAGGTCTACGATCTAGCTTAAGGGACAAACAAACATCATGTGTTGAGATTGTTGAGGTATTTACACCTATACCTCTTCAAGTTCAATTGCCAGATAAAAAGAAATTGGACAAGAAACAGAGGACACCACGCACTGTGAACGTGCCCAGCAGTGACGAGGACTTCATCAACCCCCCAAATAATCCTGCCGGTGAGGATACATCAAAGCGTAGGAGGGATCAAGACAGTGAACAGATCACAAAAGGAAGGAAGAGGATGAAAAATGTTGGTGTACTAAACATCTTTAAATCAAGACAGTGAACAGATCACAAAAGGAAGGAAGAGGATGAAAAATGTTGGTGTACTAAACATCTTTAATTTTTTTGTGTATTAAGAGCATCTCCAACAGCTTCCCCATTTCTCACTTTTGGAGAATTTAGTTAGGTTTTTGGCCTAACAGATTCCCCATCTCATTCCCCAAAATAGGGATGGAGGAGAAAAAATAGGGAAGCTTCCCCAAATCTGCAGCATTCTCCAAATTTTTGGAGGAAAAAATGGATTCTTCAAAATGGGGAAGCTGTTGGAGTTGGTGTAAAAATTAGTTGGAGAATATGACTTTTGCTTCCCCATTTTGGAGAAAATTTTAGAGAAACTGTTGGAGATGCTCTAACCGATGGATAATTTGATCTAATTATATTATTTTTTTCACAGGCGAAGGTTGGGAAAAAAACAAATGTGAAGTCTGAACCTAAGGAGTTGACTAGGATACGGGTCTCTCCAAAGATATTCTCTGATATGGTCTTGTCACTCTATGAGTCCCAAAAAGAATGGGTGAGACTAGCTGGACTTGGAGGCCTTTTACAATTTGGATTAAAGGAACTGCCACATATGTTGGGGTACCAGATTCTGCAGTCCTTTAACAGTGAGGCTGTTGCGCTTAATCTTCCCAGAGGATCAATCAGTATCACAGAGGAAGATGTACATCAAGTGATGGGATTACCTCTGGGCAGGAAGCGTATACCAGCCTTTAGTGTTGGGAAGCCAGCATTAGTGGATGAATGGAGGGCTCAATTCACAGACAGTGTTGGTTGGAAAATTACTCCAGGGGCTGTGTCTGAGAAACTAAAGCAAAGTTCTGATGTTAACCTGCTTTTTAAACTAATTTTCTTGGTTCTCTTCCACAACAGCATGATCCAATCGCTTAGCAATCCGTATGTTAACCAACAGATTCTAGTTCTTGGTGACAATGTTGATCAGTGCTCTGAATACTGTAGGCTGTCTAAAAGTCACAATAGATAGCTGATCCTCATCAAGCCCCGAAGATGGAAGTTACAATCAAACGACTTCCTAATCGCTGTATCTGCAACTTTGCAACCGCTACAAACACGGCCTCATTTCTGAGATGATTGATCTTGATGGCTGCGACAACAGCATGACTAATATTATATTAGCAACTATTAGAGATGCTGATGAGCAGTGTAATGATTTTAGAAATAAAAGGTTGGACTTAGTTGGTGAGTTGCTTGGTAGAGAGCTGTGGGCAAATATTCGTCTAAAAATCACTATGAATGTTTGATTCCCGTCAAGTTCCAACAATGGAAGCTACAATCAAATAGTTTTCGTGCCGACAAGCGAAAGCTGCAAATAGAGGACTTTTCACATAGATCGAGGAGTGTTACAATTCAACGATACTTCCGACAACCGATGAAAACTCTATTCAGCAGTCTTCACAATCTACAGTGAAGGTTACAATCTGACGACTTTCACATTCCACAACAGCTAAAGCTAGGATTACTGAACAACGGTCCTTGCAACGCTCTTAGAAGAGGTTACAGATCAACTAATCTCTTCTAAAACGCGGAAGTCATCCCCGCGTCATAATTTTGGAAAAGCAGGCAACCCCCACGTTTCCAAGCTATAACAAGCCAAATGTGAGCGACCCTCGCGTTCATTGGTGTTCAGCCAACACCGACCCCCGCGTTTCCAAGCTATAACAAACCAAACGCGAGCGACCCCCGCGTTCATTGGTGTTCAGCCAACACCCAACCTCGCGTCTCAATTCTAAGAGGTGGCGTTGGGTTCTGAACGCTAGATTGGGCGTTTGACTCGTTCGAATACGAGCCGAACGGTTTCAGAACTGTTTCCCCACAATCTGAGGAAATCACGCCCACTTAGGAGTGGATTTAGAGGGCAGTTACAACCTCTTATCCACCTATAAAAACTCAACAAACTCAACTGCGTTAAGGGCTGACTTTTTGGTACGAAGAAGCAGCAAATTAAATCTTGAGGATCTCAACTGCACAGAGAGGCGTGAGAGAGGCAAAAATCCTTGGAGATAGGGTTTTTGAATCAAGTCCAGAAGATCAAAACCGAAGGGATTCTTCAACAACAGAATATCTGCTTGGTCATTAACCGAATTTTTGAACTCGTCCAGAGTTCTTAAACTCGTTAAGAGTTACCCATCAAACTTTCCACAGAAGTTCATCGTTCCCACGAGATAAAAGATGGTCGGATCGTCAACGGAGAGCAAATTCGACGCGAACAATCGAAGGAGGCACTCCATCGCTACCTTGAAGAACCCAGTTTTAAACAAAGGAGTGAACCAAATTCGTTCTCTTCTCTTTTGTAATCGAATTGTAATCGGAATCAAAGAAATACAAGTCAATTTTCTTTTGTTCTTTTCATTGCAAATTTTCCAACATACAAAAGATGACGACTCTACTGGGGACT